ATTTTCTCTTTTAATATATGCAGTTTTCAATTGCATCGTAGTCTGGGTCACAAAGTATTCTTCCGAAAGAAAAGCTATTCAAATAAATAAAATCAAATTCTGGAAAATTTATATTAATAAATATATTTAAAATGCACAGTTGGAATGAATGAATATAAAATTTTAAAACAACTATCTTAAGAGACAATGCTACACAAACAATTAAAATGAAAGTCTAAAAATTTAAAATTACCTAAAATAATAACTAAAAAATATAGTATAAAAAACTATTTGAAAAAAATAATAATAATAAAGGATGCACCTTTTATTTTAAACTTTGCAGTTCGAATGAGTAGTAAACAGAAAATTTTAAAACAGTTATTTGAAAGAAACCATGCGACTTAAACAACTAAATGAAATTCAAAAAAGAAAAAAATACTTAAAATAATAAAAATTTATAATTAAAAATCTAATATAAAGAACATTATTTTCAAAGAAAGAATGACGTGACTTTTTCCCTTTCATGCACAATGTAAAAAGGGAAAGGAAAATGGGTTGCCATATATTAAGAAGTTTGCTACTCTTGGCGCGAACTGAAAAAAAAGTGTCAGCATAAATTTTTGATTTTCTCCGTAATGTTCCGCACAAAATTTTACAGATTTAATACCTAGGCATAATCCGAGTTGTAGAATCGAAATATGTAAAAAAATTGGTATGTTATTTCAGAAAGATCCCATAGTTGAATAGTGCTATATATGTTATGTTAGAATAGTGCTATATATAAATCTAATATATATCCTTAGTCGTGCTTTTGAGACATGAAAAACAGAATTTGAATTTCATCAATCGGCCAAGTAGAACGGGACATATAGAGCTATCAACCCCCTTTTTTTTGTGCAGTGTACTTCAGATTTAGTTATCTGAAATCAAATTCAGTTTGAAATGATTGGAATCAAAAATCTTAAAACACAAAATCTTTTGCTCTATATCAAATTTTAAATACAGTACAGTAATCCCTTGTAACATGAATTTATTTAAGACAAACACTCGGTTAACATCAGCAAAACTTCAGTCCTTGCATTGATGTAGATGACATTATAGAAAGTTTTATCAGTTAACATGAATTTTGGTTAGCACAAATTACAAACTATTTTTCAGTTCAAAACATCATTAGATTTTTTCCATTTAACATGAACTTTCAAAGTTTTTCTCCTTTTTTCCCATTATTATGCTCCTCTAAATTAAAATTTAAATTAATTGTATTTACAGCAAAATATTTATATAAATTTACTGGACTGCAGTTTAGTTACATATGAATTTTCAACATGCTCCAATATACCTTCATTCTCTGAAAGTTCTAATGGCACCATTTGACACTCCTGCAGATGGTGCTCTGGTTGCTTTCAGAACATGAAAAGTCGTTAAGTTACAAGCAGTAACACAGTTAGTCATAGCCAATAGGAAGCAAATAAGCAAATAGGATGCATTTATTCTCAGCATAGGAAAGCTTGAATCGACAGATAATTATTACGTAACTGGCTTCCTCATTTTAGTAATTGAATGCGCTCATGGACAGGTAAATATAGGGATGTTTTTGAAAGGCGTACAGCCATAACATACAGTCTGAACTTAACCAATGTAAAGGTTCACCTGCCTCAATTCAACAAATCATCTTCAGCTATTGGATAAAGGCATTACTGCTTTTATGAAGAGGTCTTATCACAAACAACATGTGACAGCTGCCATTCACGCTGCTAAAAAGGAGATGGACATGCCAACTTGGAGTGTGTTTGATGAAATATAAGCTGCTGCCACCGCATCCTGGAAATCCATGTCATTGCAACACATATACAGAACTGCTTTAGCAGAGCCTGGAGATAAAGACATTAATCCTGTCAGCAAGTTGGATAGTCACAATGATACCATTTCACCAGATGAATGGAATATTCTACAAGACATTATGAACCCTGTCATTAGTTTTGAGGAGTTTGATAATGCAGATGATGATGCTGCCATATGTGCTCCAGTGGGATGAGAGGTACAAGCAGTTGTGTTGCAGATGTAAAAATCTGGAATGATCTAAAATCCAGGCCTCCAAAAACTTTTTTTTTTTTTTTTTTTTTTTTTTTTTTTTTTTTTTTTTTTTGTTAAGGGAATTTTTTTTTATGTATGCAAATTTGCATGCGGATTTGATTTTTTCCTCCATAATAAAATATGGAGAGTACCGATTCTTAATTTCACTTTGGCACTAAATAAAATACCTCATTATTGAAGAAACAATCATTTTGACAAAAATTTCTGTGATCAATAATTTGACTCTGTAGCTATATATTTGTTTGGCATACATCTCAAACTGAAACTTTCAACATAGAAATATCATTGATTTTACACCTTCTAATATTTTATATCCCTGATGCCAACCTGGCAGATCATTATTTATTATATTTGTTTTCATCACTGCAGGTTTACCCAAGACATGACAGCTTAAGTAATGACTCATGCATCAGTGCCTAAACATTTTTTTTATATTGGTACTTGAATAACAAAGAGTATGGGGACCTTTTCTGTTGACATTATGCATGGGGATGATTACAGATTTAAATTAAATGCACTATGATGTGTTGACGAGAAAAAATTTAACAAAAATTTCTTTCCATATGCTAAAATCAGTTTTGTTAATGATAGTAATAGGCGAAAAGATTACATTTATTGCCATTTGAATTAAGAATAACTGATCTGTTATTCACATAAACCCAGAACTGGCGCCAGAACTCGTATAGCCGCAACAGGCAGCAGAATTTCTGAAATTTGGAGAAGCACTGAGCTACAAAATTAAGGGATGACAAAATTTTAGAATTTAGGGAAAGCACTAAGACACAAAATTTAGCAGTGGCAGAAATTTAGAAGTTAAGGAGGCACTTGGTAGCAGAATTTAGGACCAGCAGAAACTTCATCAGGCAGTACGATATCTAGCCCTGGCCTTCAATAAGCTTTAATAGTACATGCGGGAATTTATTTCGTCATGTCTCAGATAAGCCTTAAGCATGCGCAAGACATACACATAAGTATAATAAGCAATGAAAATAATGCAATTCAGTCTTAACTGTCTCAGTGTGTGATAGAAGCAAGAAAAAATTTAGAGGAACGACTTGTCTTACGTCACCAATCTCATGATATGTAGCCAATAATGTATAGCAGACACTATTAAGCTAGGCTAAAATTATACTTTACTGATTCCAAAAGAATTTCAGTTAGCAGACTGTGCTCTTCATCTTATTATTTTTTGCAGGCTGTTATTACAGCAATTTTATGAAAATTGAAGTTGAACTTTCGATTATGTTGAAAAGAGTTTCTAATTATGGAGCTGCAACAGAATCTACAAAGCGAAAGAATGTTTCGATGTCCATGAAACAAAAAGTGAATTGCTGCAAAAAATGAATAAAGGTATATATATCCCTCTCAAAAATATGTGAGGTGCATGGCATTGGAAATTCAACTGTATATGACATAAGAAAACAGAAAAAAGAACTTTCTGATTTTTTTTTTTTTTTTTTTTTTTTTTTTTTTTTTTTTTTTTTTTTTTTTTTAATTTTGACACCCCACTCGCGATGAATAACAAAAAAATTATTTGTTATGCTAAAAGTGATGCTTATAACAAAGTAATGATTGAATGGGACAGACAGCATTACAGCGAAGGTGTGCCATTGACGGGCCCAATTTTAATGGCTCATCTAAAATATATCATGAAGAAATGAACTTAAAAACTGAGTGCACATATTCAACAGGTTGGTTAACCAAATTTAAAAATTACCATCAGCTGCAGCTTCTGAACTATTAGCAAATGAATTCGTTGAACTCATAATGAAAAGCTATCTCCAGAACAAATTTACAATGCTGTTGAAACTGATTTTATCTGGCAATATGTACCGCAAAATACCTTGGCAATTTCTACAGAAAAGGCTCCAACTGGTGTCAAAGATTCCAAAGTGAGACTAACAAGTTTAGCACAAACAAATGCTGCAGGAACGCACAAGTGTAACTTTTCGTAATCGGAAAAAATACACAACAACAAGCATTTAAAGGAGTAAAGATTTTCCCCGTTATATCATGCAAATAAAAGAGCATGGATGACACATGCATTAATGAATGACTGGTTTGAAAATCATTTCAGACCAAAGACTTGGCAATATTTGAATACAGTTCATTTACCTGATGACACAAAAATTATCCTGATTGTAGACAACAGCACGGTTTACACTTAATGTTTTAGTGAACGATAATGTATCTGTATTATTATTACCTCTAAATCGTACATCAAACATTCCACCTATGGATATTGGAATAGTGAGTGCACTGAAATGCAAATATAAAATAGCATTTTTAACGTCTATGATAAATTTCCTGAATAATGGCAAGACTATTCAAGAATTTTTTAAATACTTTATCATAAAATCGGCTGTGTGGAGCATAGCCAGATCGTGGGTGTATCTCAAAATACTTCAAAAAATATTTGGCAATGACCAGCTACCATATTTCATGGTGAAGATGATGAAGATTCTGATAAACATGAACTTGAAGGTTTTTGGATATTGCTAATCAAAGGTGAAATTTTCCAATTTATGCATGCTATAAAGAAACGTAGAGGTAATAAATATGCTACGATAATAAGTGAACATGATATAACAGAAGTGTTTCATTGTAGTTTCAATGCCCCAACCATCAATCAGTTAATGGATGGCAAAATCGCAGTATGGTTCTAGATCCAAAAAATACCACTACTGATAGCGAAGAAAATGTCGGAGAGGATAATTAAAACAAAAAAATATTCGATTGGCAAATTAGTAAGAATTTTTGACACAACAATTATAGAAGATATAGAATTACAGAAAACTTTAAATAAAGTTTTCTGTAATTCTCAATCTTCATAATAAATAATAAAAGAAATAATACAAAATAAGAAGTATTATATAGATATTCAAAACATTATTCGTATTTAAAGATAAAAGATTTATAGAACATACCAGCTTCTCTCCTTAAGTATCGATTACAAAAATTAGCTAACTCCATATGAGCTGATGCTATCTCTTTACTATTTGTCTCTTTTTGATGAGTATCTTTTGAAACCTCGGATGACATTTCAATAACTGATTTCAAATGCATAAAACATTTATTCAAAATTAAAGGTCCTACCTGCAGAAAAAGAAGAAAGCGCAACAGTAAAATTGGTTTAATTTTAAATTGTTGAAAAAGTATATAGTATACTTATAGTAGATGTTTTAATTATATGATTACTTTAATATGATGCAAAAAGCCTTTTATTTTCATCTACATACTAGTTAAACTAATGCACCATATCTCTTAAAAGGTAAAAATATTAAGCAGAAAAAAAAAAAAATTATTTGGTAATAACATATTCTGGAACTACTACAGATCATTACATTAGGCATAAAATACCTGTATACAAAGAGTATAGTTAATATATATATACTTTCCTTCTAGATATTAACTTCAGAAGAAACCAAAAGGAAAAAAAAATAATAATCCTAAAAATAGAAACTCTACCACACACAATATCGATTACAGAAGTTAGATAATGCCAAATAAGCAAATGCTATCCATTTGAAATTTATATATATTTTATACAAATTACTTGTATTTTAAAACTCAACAGGCATTTCAGTAACTAATTTCAAACATTAATTATTACTTAATATTATTAACTTAATGCATAATCATATAAATTGTCAAACATGTCTGTTTGCACTTAAATAGAGACTGTATGAATTGCATGTAAAGACATTCCAACATCAATTTATTTATTTACCTTTAACCTTTTAACTGTTATGCCCGAAATAATCTCGGGCACAGCACTGGTATTCTAAAACGTCATGCCCAAATGAAATTTTAAATAAATTAGCCCGAGCTCAGGCTAAAAAATTGAATGTTTCAAACATAATTTTGCATGTGTCCTCCTAGAGTGAATCTCCTTCCATTACTTTCTACCTTCTTGATTTAAGAGACAAAGCATAAGGAAAGGTGGAGGGGAAAAAGAAAAAAAAAAAAAAAAAAGAAGAGGAATGAAAAAGTAAAACATAGCTTGATGTGTTCAAAACTTCCAAAATATCTCAAGCACCAACTAACATTTACATTTTAAAATGAAAAAAACATTGAAGAGTTCATTATATCCATTTCCAAATAAGTGGTATCTGTTATTTAGTTAATAGCCTCACCAGCATAAAATAACACTGTTAAATCTGACTGATAGACCAACCATGTAATAAATAAATTTAGCTTTACTTGCAAGTACTTAACTCAAACCAAACTAAATACCAAAATTTAATTAACAACCACAATTATCTATTATTCAAGGGATAGGGAATTTAAGGCCTTTAAACTGTCATTTAATCCTATTTTTAACATCAAAATCTATTCCAGTTACCTTAATTTTTATCCTAAAATAGACAATATACAAAATAAAACTATAAATGAGAAGCTATTTATTTTAATGTAACATTTCCCAGTTTATGTATAAATACCTGTCTCATAAATTAACAGTTAATGAAGATGATGATGTGCAAAACTTTTTCCAGCAAGAAGTAGTCAAGAACATGAAATGATTCGCCCACCAGCGGCCGAGCGGTAAAGTCGCTGAACACTGGTAGTTCGGTCCGAGGTTCGAATCCCACGAACGGGCTGGCTGCATGGGTGTTTTCGTGGTTTTCCCCATGTGTAACGTGTATACGAGCCAGTTTCCCTTAGAAAGTCCTCCACGAAGGCATCCCTCTTCTTAGGCAGATAGCCCTCGAGGCTTTGCCGTAATTAAATAACCTAACCTAACCTAACCTTGAAATGATTCTTCATTTTTGGCATTCAAAAAATTTCCTGTGCTTATTTATAACTCAAAATTTTACAAACTACCACAGCAGTCTCAAACTGTTGGCCTGAAGGCCATATGCAAGCCCCGATGTAATTTTTGCAGTCTGTGGATACATTTCTCATAAATTGATTAGCATTATTGTGACAAAAAATTGAAGAAAAGATTTACTATTTTAATGGTTTGGAGTCCAATTTTACATTATTCTCATTAACAAAAATTAATGTGAATTATGCTTTGGAAAATCTAGATAAGAGCTGATTAATTTACACTGTGATATAAATTTTATTCAAAGATCTAAAGATACAAATTTGATTAACTTTTATTAGTTATTGTCAAAATATAAATATCCTCAGTTACAAATTTTTGTAATAAGAATAATCATTTTGTTTGGGATTACTTTTAAATGTGAAGAGTTTTTATTTTTGATAGTTGAAAATTATTAAGTCAACAAAAAGAACCACATTGCCAATCAGTACCTAAAATTTTTAAATTTCCTAAAAGATTACAAACTTTATGAAAACCACCATGAAATGAAATGTGTAGTAGGGAACAAACCATGAAATGTGTAGTAGGGAACAAAGAAGTTTGGAATTTTTCATACAAATGCGTGTTTTTTCTGTATGCATCATAGAAAAATCTAAAAAACAGAAAGAAAGAAAATAGATTGCCATTATTTATTCACAAGTATTAACCGTCTTACAGAGATGGAGTAGCCAGTAAGCAAAATAAGCACGTGTTCAGGGCATCAAAGAAAGAAGGCATCATAAAATGGTACCTACAGACTCAACGGTGCATCACAAAAATCTCCCATTGCCAGTTTTACCATGGAATGTATAGTGCAGATAAACCAAGACTGAGAGAAAAAGAATGGGGGGGGGAACTGGCATAAATGCATGTGGGGATGCCAAAATCTTCTAAAAACTTAGTGCCTCTAACTGTCTTAGTCTGGCCCTAACTCTTGGAAAGTTTCACATATTTCCCTTTAAGTTAAATTAAAACTAAATTACTTAGCAGTTACTTCAATATATTTTTATCATTTGAATAAATGTCAATTTGAAAATTTTAATATTCAGTTTTCAACGTGTTTGAACTACAAACTGTGACCAACAGAAACTTATTTTAGATACCAACTTTTAGATTTCAGGCCAAAAATAGGTATAAACTTGAATTTTTTCTTTGTGCCATTTTTATATGTATATTTTGACAACTATGTAGTAATTTTGTTAACAAATTTTGCTTTGTTAAAAAAAAATTATCTTCCCTCCTCCTCTTTTTTTTTTAATATATTGTTACGGATTTGGATATTTAAATAGCTAATGTTAGTTGAATTGTAAATTAAATGAATTTATTTCCCGCGCAGTGCAGCGCGTGACGAATATTAAAAAAAGCTAAGCCAGAAAATTGAAAATACAAGAGCGCGTGCATTAAATAAATAAATATCTCTTTTGATTTCGAGAAAGTACTGGAAAATTCTAGCGCGGATTTTAAAATCTTATAAAAGGAGGAAAACATCTGAGTTTGTAGTAGTTGCTTAGTTTGTTGTTGTTTAGAAAACTACTGTTGTTGATTGTAGCGAATTCGCGGATTAGCGTTCTTTAGCTTTTTTGAATTACGTTCTATTGGACATTTGAGTAGTTAAAAGATAACTACTGTGAGATATTGTAATACTGCATGATATTTGAGAAAATTTAAGCATTTTGTTGTGATAATAATAAATTTTTGTTCATTTTCATCGGACTTTTGTGCTTCATTTCATAACGAACCCGTACGCACCAACAATTTTTGGTGTCAAAGTGGGATTTGAATGCCAATAACAAGAGCGATGGAAGAACAATTGAGACAGCTCATTAGTGCTTTTGCTGCATTCCAAGAAAAGATGGAAGCTGGCCAAGCATCATTTAAGGAAGAAATAAATTGGGGCCAGGAATCCGTTAAGGAGAAGAAATGAAATTGGGCCAGGAATCCGTTTAAGGACGAAATGAAAGCCGTTCAAGCTGGTCAAGAAGAAATGAAAGAGAAATTACTTGCATAATAGAAAATAAATTTGAAGCTATGGAAGGCAGAATTGACGCAGTTGAAAATAAAGTTGGACATATTGAAGAAAGAGTTTTTTCTTCTTCTTTCGGTGAAAGAAGAAATAGAAGAAAGAGTTTCTTCTGTAAAAGAACAAATTGATGAGAGAGTTTCTGCAGTTGCCAAAGAAATGGATACATTAAAGAAATTCGTAGCGTCGGCAGGGAGCAGGAGTGATGATTTTAAATCTTCTTACCAATGCCTGCTCGTCCACCTCTGAAGCTATCCACATATGATGGGAAGACCTCCTGGCAGGTGTATAAGACACAATTTTCTATCGTGGCGGATGCGAATGGATGGGATTCCCAAGCTAAGGCCTGTCATCTCGCCGCTTCTCTAAGAGCCGACGCAGCGGATATCCTTCAGACTCTTCCCGAAAACAAAAGGTTAGATTTCGAAGCTCTGTCTGGCGCCTTGGAGTTGCGCTTTGGGGAGAAGTGTTTAAAAGACTACAGCAGGCTCCAATTAAAATCTCGTCAACAGAAGCCTACCGAAACACTTCAGGAGCTCGCCGCGGATGTTGAAAGGCTGTCCCATCTCGCCTTTTCGGAATGCCCGACAGAAACAAGGGAAATCCTGTCCTTGCAATACTTTATCGACAGCATTCGAGATACTGAAATACAGAAAGCTCTACGAATGGCGGATGTAAAAGATTTAAAAAGTGCTCTCTAGTGTACGCCATGAAATTTGAGGCAGCCCAGCAAGCCACTCGTCGAGAAGACCGCTACCCCCCAGTTAGAGCTGTGCGAGTCCATGAGCCAGTGGATCAACTGATGGCTCGTTTAGATGATTTAGCCAGACAAGTCAAAGATTTGAATACGAGTAGGAGCGAGAAGAAAGTGGCTCTAAGGTGTTGGAGATGTGGTAGTGAAGGTCACCTAAGACGGAATTGCAGAACACCCCAGGGTACGGAATATAAAGCAGATGATTTTACCAGACACAAGTCAGTGGCTTGAGACGGAACAGAAGTGAAAAGAAACTAATTCTAAAGTGTTGGAACTGCAGAGTTGAAGGCCACATACTACGAAGAAACTGCAGAACAACCCCGAGGTACGGAAAATAAGACCATTTCCCAGCAACAACGCAGTAAACAAATTAGTGACCATATCGAGGAACGGAGGTTGCCAGATAGTGAAAAACCTTGTTTTAAAGCTCTTAAAATTTATACAGTGACTGGTAACAATAACGGACTGTCCATCAATGGGAATATCGATGGAGTTCCTTGCAGTATGATCATTGACACAGGAGCTAATGTTACCATCATCAGGAAAGATTTAGCTGAACAGTTTAAAGATAAACTTATTTGGACGCCATCATGTGTTACCCTTCAGACTGCGTCTGGTAATAAGATCGACATAACTGGGAAGTTAAACGTAAGCATCACGTTTGGAAATGCCGCCTACCATCACACGGCTTATGTGGCGGATATCACAGATCCATGCATACTCGGATTGGACTTTTTAAGGAAATACAATTTTTCCTTAGACTTGAAAAACAGCAGACTGCTTTCAGGATCTGAAGACATGACTATCCATTCTAAGAAGGAATCCTCACCTGGAAATGCCGACGCTTTGTCCGAAAGAACCAGCCCGAGAAACTGGCGAAATCATGCTAGGGTCGAAAAGAAACCACCAGACTACCAGCTATTCTCCATCTCAGATGCTCTTCGGTCGAGACCTTCGTCTGCCTTGTGACCGCCTGTTTCATTGCCGTACGGATGCGCCTTCATCGCCTGAGAAACACATCCAAGATGTCAAGGCCCGTTTTGAAGTGATGCACCGTTCCGCACAAAAGCGAGTGAACTTGGCGACGGAGAAAGTGAAGTCCAGACACAACACGAGAGCTACTGGACATAGATTCAAACAAGGAGACAAAGTGTGGTTGTGGAACCCGATTCAACGAAGAGAACTCAGTTCTAAATTACAGTCACCTTCGGATGGTCCATATACAGTCCTGAAGAGACTGAACGACGTCATGATCCGTAAGTCTTCGAACTCTAAACCTAAAATCGTTCATTACGACATGTTAGCTCACCACAATGGCCGTAGTACACAATGTAAATAATTGTAAATAGTGTAAGACCATGTCCATTTTGTTTTTAAATGTGTCTTTGATTTGATTTGTATTTAGTATTTGATTTGTATTTTGTATTTGATTTGTATTTGATAGCATTTGATTTGTTTTATTTATTACATTTATTGTTCATGTTGTTTACTATTGTTTTGCAATTCTTATTATTGTATTTATGCTTTAGCTGTAAGTTTGGCTTTCCTTTCCAGGGATTGTACTGCCCAGGACACGCAGTCCTTGGGAATGGGGCAGTGTTACGGATTTGGTATTTAAATAGCTAATGTTAGTTGAATTGTAAATTAATTGAATTTATTTCCCGCGCAGTGCAGCGCGTGACGAATATTAAAAAAAGCTAAGCCAGAAAATTGAAAATACAAGAGCGCGTGCATTAAATAAATAAATATCTCTTTTTGATTTCGAGAAAGTACTGGAAAATTCTAGCGCGTGATTTTAAAATCTTATAAAAGGAGGAAAACATCTGAGTTTGTAGTAGTTGCTTAGTTTGTTGTTGTTTAGAAAACTACTGTTGTTGATTGTAGCGAATTCGCGGATTAGCGTTCTTTAGCTGTTTTGAATTACGTTCTATTGGACATTTGAGTAGTTAAAAGATAACTACTGTGAGATATTGTAATACTGCATGATAATTTGAGAAAATTTAAGCATTTTTGTTGTGATAATAATAAATTTTTGTTCATTTTTCATCGGACTTGTGCATTCATTTCATAACGAACCCGTACGCACGCAACAATATTAATGCAGCCTGACAGCTGCTTTCTGATCATGCATTGGCCCACATGAATTTGGGTTTTATACCACTAAACTAGCATAGCAATATAATTCTAGAACATGAGAACATTATGTGAAATAATTATATATATACACATCATGTAAATTTAGACTGAATGAAGATGTTGAAATTTTTCTCTAACAGCAAGCAGTCATGAACATTTGAAACCTGTTTTCATTTCACACAAAGCATAATTGAAGCATGAATATACAGTTTAACTAGCACAAGAAAGAGGCACCCTGCTATGTTAAATTTTAGAAATAACAAATTATATGTTGACTAGATACAGCAAGCATCAGACGGAGAAAGATATTTATTTGAAAGCTAACAAGCAACTGCAAGATTCTTAATTTTTGTCACTTGAATATGTTCCTATCATATTATATTATTTGCAATTAATGATTTCAACTTAAATGGGATTAGAAAACTGATGTTCCTTAAGATTTTCGCATGTTTCTATATGAAAAGATCAAAGGGCACAAGAAAAGATATTTAGAAAGATTTTAATTAACTACACATTTTCCCAAAGAAACTAGCAATCTGTTAAATTTTACCAAAAATAAAGCAAAAAAATGAAAAATGATAAAAATTAATGCAATTTCAAAAGGTAACATTTTTCATAAAAAAAATTAACTATAAAATAAAATTTTCATTTTACATATGTAAAGGAAATGATTTGAGTAATTTTGGTCTCCTCTATTTAATTACTTCATTTGCAAATAAAAGAGTTATTATATCTTCTTAATATGTTTACAAATTAAATTTATGCCAGCAATGCATAAGACTTTTCTTAACAGCAAGTGTTTTTTGTATAGAAATGATTAAATGCATGCTTGGGAAAGAATTCTTAATTTATAGAAACTTAATATTCATTAACATGTGCGTCACTTTCCATAAAGCAAAAGAATTTACTTAAATGATGAAACAGAAACAATCAGTTTGTTAAAATTATGCTCATATGTAATGCACATACCAAAATTTTAAACGTCAAAGTTAGGGAACTTTCTAAGCCCCTGCTGTAGAACAAAGTTTAGAAAAAGGGCTACCAATGTGCAGAAAATTTTTTATATTTCTGATAACACTGATTTAAAGAAAAAGTTTGTCTTTTAGAATGATACATCACAGTACTGCAAAAGAATTTATATATACACAACTAGACATACAGCAAAATTCGAGAAGAGAAGTACTGCACATGTAAATTAGCAAAATTCATTGAATTACAATCAGCCAACTAATATTTTTTTTTTTTTTTCCTGGGTGGAGTGCAATGATTAAATACATTTTCCAGTTAATGAGAAAAAAATTTGATGTTAACTATACATATACAAATATCCTTACTTGAGAGTTTTCAGGGTTGATAGCACAAAATTCAGAGATTTTTTTCTTTTGTTCAAGACTCATTGATGAAATAGTTACCATATTGTCTATTAGCATATTAGCAATTATTTCCATTGTCTGGCTTTCTAATTTTTTCTGAGAAACACTAGAACCACATCTTGTTTCCAGTTCAACTAAATAATAATAAAAATAATTAAATAATAACATTACATTATCTAACATCAAGATTATACTTATTCTGAAATAGATTTACTTTCATTAGATACACAGTTAGTTACCTAATATCAAATATCATACTATTATTAATAGTTTAAAATACATTTTTTAGAATGTACTCAGTTAAGATATAGTAAGTAACAGTAGTAGCATGGCTGGTTAGTTGATTAATTAAGAAAAAAAGCATTGTGTACTTCAGGAAAAGACTGTGCCATGGGGGACTTTCTAAGTACTAAGAGTCTGCATTTATATTACATGACAGAAAAAACACAAAAATTTCATGTAGCCATTACAGTTGCATGGAAATAGGATTGCAAGCAGGCTGATCATGTGGGTTTTTTTTTTTTTTTTTTTTTTTTTTAATCAAAGGAATTTACAGTTATTATTTGATGAATATTCAAGCTATTTAATGAACTCATTGTTTAATAAATTTGGCAGCTTATTATGTGAAGAATTCCTAAGAACCAAATAAATACATATTAATTGATACAAAAAGCACCAATGGCTATATTCACCTTTGCAATTAATAAAAATCAGATTAGCAAAAGATTTTTAAGTGCCAGAATATCCTGTTGGTACCTATCAAAGCTGTTTATAAATTTAAATAAATTCGTGGTTGTTAAAGTTGGCTCATACAGTAGCTTTAGAATTTAAAATCTTAGTAAAGTCAAAGATCTTCATTGCAATTACTTAAATTCTGGTAGGGAAAAGCTACCAGAATTCACCTAATTAAGTTATTAACTGGGAAAAACTACCTAAGTTATTAACTGAATTAACCAGTTATTTATAAGCCTTTACTACAATTTCTTCTTTCCATTTCCTCACCAGAATATAAATGAGTTAGGTAGTACTTAAACTCAGGTTTTTGGTTTTTAAGACACAGCATGTTCCTGGCCTGTGCATGCACACTATGTGTAGTTCCTGCCAGCCTGAGAGTAGTAATTGTTCGGCTTTGTGTTATTTCACTGCAACAAATTAATTTTGATACTCCGGTTATAATTACTGAACCTGCTTAGAGTAAAATTTAACTGCATAACCTTTGACTATTATTTCATGTTAACTTGAATTTCACTGTTATTTGAGTTGCATCACCATGAGCTGTGGTTGATACTGTTAACATAAAGAACATGCATAAAGTGTTCTAAGTTCTCTTCTCTGCTCATCTAAGGTTCATTTAAAAAAATTCCTTGACTTTGCAGTTACTTCAAATGCAACAATAATTCAATTTACATCTTTAGGAGTTTTAGACTAATTAACTTTTGCCAGTTCAAGTAAAACCCCATATCTCATAAGCCTGAAGGTTACACAAGCTATTTAATAAGAGAAAATCATATCCCTACAGCTTGCAAGAAATTCAGAATAAATGCTTAAGTAAATTAAAAATATTAAATACCAGCTACTCACACATAAGCTTTGATCAGGCATCAATCTTTTCATGAAGCAATTACAAATAACTAAGCTAAAATAAACTAAGTAATTCAGTCTTAAGAAATGTAATAAAGTGATAGAGACAGCTGCTATAGCTCTCAAAATCAAGAACTCTGCTTCTTAAACATATTAACTAATTTAAATTCTGTTGAGACAATGAAAGTTGAAATAAAAGCAGAGATAAAATAATATGATAACTGTATAATCTTTTTAGTTTTCTTATTAAAATATTCCTGTTGGGGCACATACATATGTTCACAGAGTTTTTACAAAATTTCATAAAATATGTTCTAGCATTATTATTTATTATGAGCCTAAGAATGGAAAAAGAGTCATCAAATTAGCGCAATTGAAAAACTGCTAATGAACAATATAACACAAACATTGTTAGATAGAATTTTTTGTAAAAGTTTAAAATTTCATCACTTACTTCACTATAAAATATTAAAAAAAGTATTTCAAAATTGCATAAATATTTTAATTTAGCATTAAATTTTATGAATTAATTATAAAAGTAATTAATTATTGCCTTACTAGGAAGGTTTAAAGTTGATACCAGAATTTGTAATATACAAATTGATGCTTATTAAACTCATTTGCTTAATAAACTCAGATATGTTTGAAATTAAAGTGATTTTAAGAAGCAGCAATGTATGCACTACTAAAAATTTAACAGTATGCCATCATCTTGGAAAAATCAGGCAGTTTTGGTTTCATCACAGAGTACATATTAAATCCCCCAAAAAATATAAGTGACATCTGAAATATTAAATACAAATACATGTTGTAATTGTAATTACTATAGAGAAATGAAACAAGTGGGCATAAGGTTAAGAAAACACATACAAGTGTTAGGTTTTACCTGCAAAAGTAAAAATGCTTAACCCTTTGACATGCGGTGGTCGCGCCCTGAAACCACCATTTTCCGAATTTTTTTCCTCCTCTTTTTTCCGAAATTTTTGAGTGAAAATGAATTGATTACTGATCTTTTACATCTAAATAGCACAAAATGACTGTAGAATCATATATGTTTTAGGTATTAATACTTCAGATCGGATGCCTTTTAAAATTCGTTTTCGATGAGACAAAATAACTTCCTTTTATTAATATAAACAACTTTAAATTTCAAAAGTTAGTCATCGCACATCATGATTTCTATCATAAACAATAAAAAATTGCAGTAATTAAATTGCATACGTAAAAAAAAACTTCTATATGTATGGTATTTGCTATGTGGTTTCAGGGTGCGCCCACCGTGCCACTAGAGCATAGTGTCACAATGCTTACAACCCACACAAGCTCGGTGGTCGCGCCTTGAAACCACTGGTGTTTGCTTCTCAATGGCGTTTGCTTGCTTTTCAAATAGGAATGCTTATTTTTACCCGGATATAGATAAAGGGCTTTGAAACCACAGAGTTATTTTATTACTAAACAATACATGCACCTGCCCAGTAAAAAGGTGTTTATTTTCCAAATATATTTCTCTGACATCAACACACTTGCTCCCCAAGCTAGTATTGTGATTGTATAAATTATTTCCTGTGGTTTAAATTTAATGTAAATATACTTGCTATAATTTTGCTATAATATTTTTCCTACTACATCAGTAAGTTTCAAAGTCCTAGACGCGCGGTGGTTTCACAATGCGACCACCACCCACAGAACAATAGGCAAGAGTAGATTTTTTTAAATTCATATATTATTTGTCTCTAGAATCATAATATTCAGTTTCTATAGTTAAACAAATTATAAAAATAATATTGCGCGAGTCAAAGGGTTAACAAGACTGAGCATGTACCATCTATAAACATTTATATTAAAAAAAAACTGAAAGGTTTCAGCTTTTTACGATTGTCCAGAAGGGTTTTTCACACCCTTCCTGAGCTTCCAGTCTATCAGTCTGCTGTTGCACTTCCTCCTAACCCAAATATTATTATAATTATTTATTTGGCTTATGTGCTTTACATTTATGCCATATACAGTTCAACAACGAAACCACAAAAATTTTAAAAGCAGCATAGCAGTCAGTATAAGCTTAGAATTCCCAATGCAGAATTAAATGTTGACAAACATACACACACACACACACACACATATATATATATATATATATACTTTACTTTTTTCTCAGTTCATCATACCAATGTTCAGTTTTCTTACTAAGATAGCTTTACAAAACTTTTTTTGTCTTTTTTTGTTGTTAATGTTTCTAATGTTTACTTTATTTATTTTATTTATTAAATATCATGTTCTTGGCACTTACACGACATAAAATCCAATTCGACAGCAAACTAATGAAATATTTAAAAACAGCATACCTTTAGAATTTCTGATAGCCAGTCTCATGCACTGGAGATAAAAAAGGTTTTTTTCATAGTGTTGGCATTCTTTGCTTTAAAATCTTTGAATTTGTTAATTAAAAATTTGTTAAAGTTTTACAAAATATGAAATAGATAATATAAAAAAATTCAAAATTCAAGCTTCCAGGTGCATGCAGATATTTCATTACTAAATATCTTTATTACAGGGAAATAATTTGCAAAGTAATTCTCCATTTATAGTGAACTAATGCAGAATCCTACTCGAGACTAATAGCTTCTTTTTGGCTAAAAAAATTGGTAGTAAAATTGTTAGCAAGTTATTTTGTGAAAGTCAACACTGACAGCATTTCATTACTACTTAAGTATCATTTAAAACATCAGAATTACACATATTACTTCCTTGTTTCAGAAGTTGCTCGGCGGTTAATTAAAATATCCCTTAATTTATGCATCATTTAAGACAATTTACTTCAAAATACAGGGTGCTTTTCTTTACTCATTTATGTTATCAAAAATCACACAGTTTTCACAACATATTTTAAAAGATTAAAAATCATATTGCAACCATTCATTGCAAATACTTATACACTAATTTCCACAGAGTTTACATATTTTCATTGTGTAAAACATTAAAAACTACTGCAGTGATTAATTTTATTAAATTAATCATTGGAATATTTAAATAAATTTTATTTTGAATAGGTTATTACTTCTCAGCCATTTACTACTTGACAATACAGAACATTCATAATAACTCCTCTCATATACAAATATTTTAAGTAACAATGTAAAAAAAAAAAAAAAAAAAAAAAAAAAAAAAAAAAAAAAGGATGAACAGAAAAGAATTTACTTGAATTCATTGAAATTTTCATAGGTCATGGGTACAACAAAAGATACTAGCATGAGAAAAAGGCCAAGAAAATGACCAGTAAATAATTAAATTATGGCTGTAAACAAAAAATAAATAAGCTATATAATAGAAGAATGCAAACCACTAGTCCTCTTACCTACAGATTTTGATTTTGATTTCGTTGCTGAATAGTATAGGAAACAGATATAAGATACCTAATATATAGGTTTAGATCTTAGCAAATAGCCTGACTATATGAGTGTTTTCATAATTTTACTCAAATGTAAACTGAATATGTGCCAATTTTCCTAAGAAAGACCTCTACAAATACATCTTTGCCTTTCTGTGTTTTATCATATTCAAATAGCCTAACTTAACCTAACACATTTCTTTGTTAATATAATAACTGATATAAATAAAAGTTCAGTGATAATGAAGGGGAAAAAATCCTAACAGTTTTAAAAAGCATGAAAGTAAAATCAGATCAGCATTAAAAGGGGGGAACTGAAAACAAGTTACCAAATTCCTGTATTATTCAGTGTCAACTATCACCTTTAACAAAAACGAACAATAACAGCATAAATTACGTTTCACAATTTCCAGAATTTTGAAATTTAAAATAATATGCAATACGTTACATTAAATGAGTATTTAAGTTATTTAGTCTATGACAGCACTTTTTCTTAATGTGTGCATATAGACTTGTGATAATTTATTTACAGAAAGCAAATAAAAAGCATTATTTAAAGGCATATACTTACTTAGTTGCCCCAAAGATCCAAGCAGAACATCTAACTTCTTTCTCGGTTCAAAATGAGAAATTCTTTGATTGTTTATTGAACAATATGCTTGAATGAATTTTGACCACAAGGATCCTTCTAATGCTTTAGATACCTAATTTATAATAATGTTCAGTTTAAAAAACAACCTTGCAATGGAAGTATAGAAATCCTTTGCTTAACACAATTAACTCCTGTGCAACATTATGTTGAATAAAATTGTGTTAACTGAATATACAAACTCATATAAAACACACTAATTCATCCAACTGTTTCTCTTAATTTCATTTCACAGACTGCTTACCCAATATCAAAAGGAAAATACAGTCAAAAGTCGTTAATTCGGACACCCATAATCCGGACCTCAAAGCTAAAATCTTTCTATGCATGCGCCGCGTTGACGCATGCGCATAGGCGTTTACGCGTGCGTGCAAGACCTTTACGACTGCGCATATGCGTCTGCGCAAGCGCAGAATACGTTTTCGCATGCGCATTTAATGTATAACGGATGGTATAAGCTAAAATTATCTAATTATCTATTTCAGTTAATGTTGATGATTGCGTTGTTCCTTAATCTTCGAATTGGATCCGGCTTATTATTTTTTGCAGACTGTAAGAGCAATTTTATAAAAGTAAGCTTGAACTTTCGATTATGTCAAATTTTCGATGCTGGAGCTCCCAAAGGATCTACAAAACGAAAGTATGTTTCGATGTCCATCAAACAAAAAGTGGAATTGCTACAAAAAAATGGATATCTGCATGCGGGGGAGGGGGGGAACATTGCATCGCGCAATGAACTGGAAGTTGATCTGTCAGCACTATCGTTATCTTCAGGGCAGATGTTTTTATTTTATTTGGCTTATAATTCCTTACTAAATGTAGTGTACTCCATCTTTGATATGATTTAAATCAAATTCCTCGTCATTATAAGTATCATGATTACAAATCAAATAGTTTTCTGGTTGCAATTTTCTAACTTCGGCTATGCGTAATGTATGCTTTACGCATGCGCGTTGAAAGATATGTTTAATAAAGTAAACAAATAAATATTAAGCTTCTTTTTTTGTAAATTTTGATACCCTTTAGATCATAATTGCTCATTATTTTATAAATTACGGTTTCATTTTTTTAATTTTATAATTTCTGCATGCCATCTTACCAGATTTAAACTGATGATCTATAATCCGGAAAAATCGATAATCCGGAATCGCCCGATGAGTCCGGATTAAAGACTTTTGACGTATATATAAGTTTTTTTATGCCACTTACAAACATTTAAAAGAAAATAAAATGAAACACACTTATATACAATGCACAAATAATATATATTTGTGATGATTTAATGCGTAGGAGGAATCCGGATATGTTAACAGCTTTTGATATCTATCATGGCTGATGGTTAAGGCATACCGATGAAGATAACAAAACTGGATTTTTATAAATTACCAATCTTTATTTTCACACATATCAAATCATTTTTTAGTATATAAGATATTTCTAGATCATAAGCAATTACAATATTTTTATATGTATGTTATATCATCTTAGAATAAGAACAAAAGAGAACATAGCAGCACAGAAATGTTTGCATGGCAGAAGCTAGGGAAAGGAATGATGTAGTTATTGTGCCAAGAGTATTTATATGTATAAGTACAGCTAATCTGTGTGTGATTGGTTAATTTTAGGTTGTTATATAACATGGAAGGATCTCGAATTTGAGAGAACGGATGAATTTAGGGGGACAGTACCAAATCTAGAATAGTTAATTTTGAGGTCGCCAATTATTCTAAAAGCAGCTATTGTATTTTGTTATATCTTACATATACTCTTCTTTAAAAGAAAGGTTAGGAGAGCAGGGCAGCCAAAAAAGCATCAACATATTAGTGAAGCGAAAGAGAGTTTATCGCATGAGAAAAGGCATCAGGAAACATCAAGGACATAGCTTGCAGGTTTCCTATGCCCTGTCATTATTCATGACCTTTTTCATATACAGATTATGCAATATTTAAACACCTAATTCACAATTATTACAACAACAATATAATTCCTAAATAAAACTAAATAATAAACTAACACAAATATAAATAATAAATTAACACAAATATAAATAATAAATTAACACATTAATTATATATAAAATATAAGTCCTCAAGCTGTTAAAATGTCCAACGTTTTTCGAATTTTTGTAAAGTTTTTGATGAAAATAGTTCCACAAGGTAAATGTTCAAATGTTTTCTCAAAGTAGATTTCCACTAAAAAGTCTTTCAAATTTTTGTTGATAAAAATATTTCCATTATAATACAGATAGATCTGCCAACACTGATGTAGAAATATAATACTCAATTTATGAGTGATTGAATAAATTCTTCTTATTGTGGATACACATACTTAAGACAACAGAAAATTTAATATAAAAACATAATAATATAATGGAATACTAAATAATATAATAATACTAATTCAGAAGTCAAACAACAAAAATCAGCGTTACATTTTCAAATTCTCACAGAACTAGTTTCGATAGTTTTATCTAACCACCATCCTCAGCTGCAAAAGCGCAAATGAATGAGGTAGGATATAACGATTAGATAAGATAAGAAAGCCTGGACAGAAAATAAGCCATCTACTGATGAAACCAGAACTAAACATAATTTCTTTAAAGGCCGAAGGCAAAGATGTTTTGGAATTAGGATCGTTAACTAGAACAGAAAGATTTTTTTTAATGTGAAATGCCTCTATAAAATCCACTTCTCCAATGGAAGATGTTTTTTGAATAATTTTGACAGCAGAAGACTTCTGTGTTTCCTTTTTTCTAACATATGTCTCATGTTCCTTGACGCGAAATTTTAAGGCTATCTTAGTTTGGCCAATGTAAATTAAACCACACTGGCAAGGAATCCTATAAATACCCCAGGAATTCATATCCGGAATGGAGTCCTTGAGTATGGAACTCGGAATTTTATTGATGGGAGAATAAATGACCCGAAAGTTAAATTTCTGCAAAATATGGGCAACTTTATAGCTAATTGATGGAAAGAAGGGAATGACAACAGAATATTTATAATCTTCTAAAACAAGAGTGTGCCTTTTAGTGTGTTGAGATGAGAATTTTTTAACTGCTTGATTAATAATGTTGGGTGAAAAGCTTGGTGGGGCTTGATTAATAATGTTGGGTGGGGGTTAATTATCAAGCAGTTAAAAAATTCTCATCTCAACACACTAAAAGGCACACTCTTGTTTTAGAAGATTATATATATTCTGTTGTCATTCCCTTCTTTCCATCAATTAGCTATAAAGTTGCCCATATTTTGCAGAAATTTAACTTTCGGGTCATTTATTCTCCCATCAATAAAATTCCGAGTTCCATACTCAAGGACTCCATTCCGGATATGAATTCCTGGGGTATTTATAGGATTCCTTGCCAGGTATGATTTACATTGGCAAAACTAAGAGAGCCTTAAAATTTCGTGTTAAGGAACATGAGGCATATGTTAGAAAAAAGGAAACACAGAAGTCTTCTGTTGCCCAACATTGTTGGTCTGAAAATCACACTTTCAATTTTTCTGCTGCCAAAATAATTATTCAAAAAGCATCTTTCGTATGGAGAATTAGATTTTCTAGAGGCATTTCCACATTCAAAAAAATCTTCTCTATTCCTAGTTAACGATCCTAATTCCAATTCCATCTTTGCCTTCAGCCTTTAAGGAAATTATGTTTTGGTTCTGATTTCATCAACAGATGGTGCCACTAGCTTATTTTCTGTCCAGGCTTTCTTATCCTACTTAATCATTATATTCCATCTCGTTCATTTGCACTTTTACAGCTGAGGATGGTGATTCGGTAAAACCATCGAAACTAGTCCTGTGAGAATTTGAAAATATAACTCATATTTTTGTTGTTTGACTTCTGAATTAGTATTTGTTCGGCGTGTTATTGTGTCTTAAAATAATAATCAAAGTATTAATTGGCATTAATTAGTTGGCATATATGTGTGTTTGTGCGGAAAATAAAAAATCTGTAAACAAAATACAGAACTTTAATTTGCAACTGCACATTAACACTTCTTTTTAATTTGGCTATTTCCCCATTCTGTCCCAAAAATAATAACTACTTATTTTAAATCTCTCTAGACAGCACAGTTTCCAAATTAATCCACACAAAATGATTCTTACATAATGCTAGACATAAAAAATTTTTCAAACAAACTCAGAAGAGCAAATCAAAATGAGGGAAAATCAAGCTTAACTTTCATCTGAACATGTCATATTTCACTTTCTGTTTCTTTTGCTAGTTAATCTACAGCTTTGTCTGTCTTAAAAATTACACTTCATAATTTGATCAATACTGACATAGCATTATAAACAGGTGTAATTTATTTCTGTTGGCTTAAAAATCTGTGTCAACCAAAATAAAAGTGATTATTTAGTTTGGCCATCACTGTAAAAACTTCTTTACTCTTCTGTATCATGACTGCAGCATTTCTAAATTATTTCAGCTAAGAATTTTTGGAACTATTCCGAAAAATGACAAATATGAAACATAAATAGTGAATAATTTTGTGTGCTTGCATAACAAAATGTGATATTGAGTACTATAATGAATATAAAAATATTAATAATTTAAGAAATTGAATAAATATATACAACAAAAAATTTAATTTAATAAAAAAGCATATGACTGTAAAAAAGTATTATGAAATTTTCAAAATTAGAATTGCACTAACCTTAAATAAAATAAAATTTTAAAAATTGGTAAAATATGAAATTCAAAACCATTTACCTTTATCAACACTAACTTGCTCACACCTCATCCAAGAGGTTTTTAACACCGCTTTTAGATTCGATGGCGCATTAGATTCGAGTGCAAAGTTCGCCGATGACGTCAACTAAATTTTCTCGACTACATTTACTGTTACATTTATCGTCGACACATTATTGCATAGAGGATACAAACTGCAGAGTACGTAGTCACGAAATGGAGGGCAAACAGAGAAGAATGTCATATGACGCTACTTTCAAACTTAAAGTAATTCTTTATGCTGAAAAAAATGGCAATAGAAAGGCAGGGAGAGAGTTCAACGTATCTGAGAGCAATGTTCGCTTGTGGCGGCAACAGAGATTGGCAC